GGGGGGGTGCATGTGTGTGTGTGTTTGTGTTTTCTTTTTTTTTCTATCATATAAAAGATGTATAGCCTATTCTGTATATATTAGACTAAGTACTTAAATATGTAGTCTAATGTAACAGTTCCTTTTTTTGCCATTCAGGTGAGAGTGGCAGTGTACAGCTGTGGTGTTAATGCATCGGATGTTCTCATGGTTGATAACAAGTAAGTTCAGTCGCTCACGTCTTATAGCCAGTTTGTTAAAATTGTGAGAGGCCCAATCCAGCGAATATTCATGTAGAAGTTTGTATATATACACAGAAATAATTGCATAACTGTTGGTCTAGACATTCATGTGTAATGGATAGGTAGAGGGATGAATGTACATCTATCAGACAGATAGACAGATAAACGTTTATTTCATTGCATGAGACAGGTTGATACATATGAATGCTCATTGGCTCGGACCAATTTTGACAGACCCGCCGAAACTAGTGTATTTGCGGGTCTTCGGGATTACCATTTATTCCTTTACTGATTTTGTTTAAGTTGGTTCCTTAGGAAATTCAACTGCAGTTATATGCAGTTATATCTCTCTCTCTCTCTCTCTCTCTCTCTCTCTCTCTCTCTCTCTCTCTCTCTCTCTCTCTCTCTCTCTCTCTCTCTCTCTCTCTCTCTCTCTTTTTTTCTCTCACTCTCTTTCTCTCTCTCTTTCTCTAAACAAGTAACATATTTTCCCCTGAACATAAAACCATCTCTTACTTACCCAGATACGATCAGGTCTTGAAGCCTCCTTTTGTCCCTGGCTTCGAGATATGTGGTGAAGTCATTGAGGTCGGAGCAGACGTGAAGACGCTGGCTAGTGGAGGCAGAGTCATTGGCATCAGCAAGGAGAACCTTGGAGGGTTCGCAGAGGAGTGTGTTTTGAACGAAAAGGTGAGATAGTGAGGATTTTTTTCTTCTCCTTTTTCTTCTATCTTTTCTGTTCTTTTTGTTTTGTTTTTTCTTGTAGTTTGTTTCTTTTTTTCTCGTTCTTTTCTTTCGTTCTTTCTTTCTTGGGTGGGGTGTAGAAATATTTTCTAAAGGAGTGTATGTTTTCATAGGATTTACGGGAGATAGAACATGATATATATATATATATATATGTA